TGATTTAGGAGAATAGCACAGTATTCATGCAGGACTTGGGAATTCTGCATGGAAAGATGGTATACTGAAAAGCACTGGTTTGATGGAACCCATCCCTCCACCCTCAATCTTTAGAGTTTACTCTAGTTACAAGAAACACTCGGCCATGGTAGGAAGCTGTGCTTTCATATACCACATGTATCTCTATTCTCCAGAAATATCCTTTCCATACCATTTGCCACTATCTCACTGAAAAAAACTTTCTGGCAGTGCACTAACTTTACTTGTATTTAAAAAGAGAAGCCTTTCTTTACAATAAGTTATTATTAAATTATGAATAACTGATAATACTTTATTATAGAATTTCCCAAGTTTATTATGGGGAATATTAGTTCACTGAGAAAGGCCATGAAAAAAGAGTTCTGGGACCAGATCCATCCGGGCTACTCTACCCCTTCTCTATCCCTTTGGTGAAATGTAGTCACTGATATGATGGTAAATGTTTAATATCTGAGACAAGATCCCTGATTTATAGGGTCTTCAAATTTCTGTGGCATAAATATTCCCATTATGGCTGATTTAAGCTGATAACATGACATCACTAAACATGCAGCTGGTAATAGGTGTGCTTTAGCTCAACATTATATAATATTCCTACCACACAGATGCATTTGACATAAACCTCAGTGGCATACATAACAGTAAAAGGTAGTAAAAGTTAGGAAGTGGTAAGTTTTGAGTTATTACCTTTATTCATAATATACTTAAGTTGTAAGTTCATATAATTCAATTTTCAATAATGACTGTGTTTAACAACTGGCTCTCACAATTTCTGAACATTTTACAACCAGCTCTCCAGAGTCCACAGGAGCTGACCCCAGCTCATCACTTAACGGCTGTTTCACAGCTTAGACATTCACAGGCTATGGTTCCTGACACATGCAGGGAATAAATTGTGGACTCATCCGCAAAGCTAATATCCGGGAGAAAGGCTGTCATCAGTCTACCACATGTCTATTCAGGTGTCTATTCTGATTCTGTTAGCCTTGTTCCAGGAGGTAGACATGGCTACGGAAACCCGATGGGGGAGAAATTTCCAGAGTATCAGCTTATTGGTGGGGTATACCCTCCAAAAGGTACTTCAATGCCCATTGTATTTATGACTCTCCTCCGATCAATTTTAAAATACAATCCCTATGAGACTTCCCAGGAAAGAAATGTTGTTTTTCTGCTTTTTGAGCAACTAGAACATCGATAATCAGTAGAAAGAAGCTGAAGAAGTTGGAATTGGTAACGGTCATCTATGACGGTGGTTTCATACCTTTCTGTTTGCACATTCTTCTAGGAATTTTAAAAATTCATTACCCCGTCACATTTTTAGATAGACATCTCTAAGTTTTTATTGTAAGTTTTGACAGTTGCAAAGAATGCAATTTGACTTTTTAAATAAAAATTATGTCACTCATTTCAACGTATCTAGTGTAACCTAAATGTCAAACCTATTTAATACTCAATATCATTCAATAAGTACACAAATCCTTTGCATCATTGCTTTTTCTCCTTGAAGTTACATTTCTATTCCCTACAGCATTTTAACTAAGGAAATACAGTTTACGCTTGAAAATCTTTTATTGATCAATTGATATTTCCTTATAAAAGTGTATAATCATATGTTATACATAATTTCTTGTGCTATAAGACTCTAAGTAATTTTTTTTGTCCTGGATTGAGTTATCTGTGCAATTATTAATAATGAGAAAGTGAAAATCAGCTCTCCTGTCAGTCAAGACCATATCGCAGCTGCAAGAGTTACTTCAAAGTGACTGCTACTTTTTTACTAATGATATCCCAACCACACTTCCTGCCGCCTGGGAGCAATCACTTGATTTCTGCTTATCCGTGAGCAAAGTTTTACTCATCTGTACGTAGTTATGCGTAGATTTTACCGTTTAGCTTTCAGAGACATCTCCCTCCAACCCACCCACCCCCACACTGCGGGGGGTTTTGTTTTAATTCTTTGTTGGAAGGGGCTTTCTCAGAAAATAGAAGGTAATGGATCTGGTTCCGATCCAGGACAGAGATTACAGCGCCTGATAACTAGATGGGGTTTGCACAAGCAGAACACGTGAGTGCTGCTATCAGTGAGACTCGGCTCAGGGAGGCTGTGGAAATCTCTCGGCAACGGTCCATGCAGCTCAGCCTGGCAAAGAGAACGCTTTGCCTGTCCCGACTTCAGCGCTGGGAAGAGGACTTCGCCGACCAGATCCAGGCAGTCAAAGCACGCATGCGCCGGGCCAATCGGGCGTCGAAGGCGCGCAGAACGGGCGCGCGCACCCGGCGGCACGGCTAGGCGGGCGCGCGCGCCGGGGTGGTCACTGAAGACCTGGAGTGGTGTGCGCGGGAGGCGAGGGTTCACCCGGCGCTCGGTCTACGGCTATGGCTCACAGGCCGCAAAGGACTTTCCGGCAGCGCCCAGCCGATTCTAGCGACAGCGACGGCGCCGAGGAGCCGTCTGCTGAGCCCGGAACACGGAAGGAACAGGAGACCTCCGGCCCTGCGGAGGAAGGGCCGCTCTCTCGAGGAGGCCGCGCGCAGGTGGCGGAACTGCCCCACCGAGTCCGGGTTGCTCGGGGCCGGGGCCGGGTGTGGGCGACTTCCCGGCGCCCCCCGGGAGCGGCTCCCCGCGCGGACGGCGCGGGCGTCCAAGGTGACGCAGGGAGGCGGGGTGGGCGTCCAAGGTGACGCAGGGAGGCGGGAAGGGGCTGCGAGGTCCCTGGGTTCTTCTCTGGTGGTTCCTGTAACCGGCTGCTGACCGACAGCCCGCGAGACAGCCCGCCTTCGAGCGCTCGCCCGCTGCCTGCGTCTATGTACTGGGCGCCTTGGGGAGTCAAAGGAATCCCATACAGTTCATCAGATGACCCCACCAATTATAGCTATAGGACAGTGATTGATGTTTATGAAGAGCCTAAATCGTCACAAAAGTGTTCAATAATTCCTAATGCTATTAGGTAGGCAAAAGTTTTATGTACCTTTTGGAAACTTGCCCAATTTATTTTTCTAGAAAACACTTAACCAGACTAGTACATTAAAAGACTCTAAGTGACCGGTTTTGGAAAATTCTCTTTTGTTTTTCCTTTTCCACCAATTATGTGCAAAACCCGATAATAATAATGATATATACAACACTAAATAGCATAATAGATTGATGACACTGTAAATTGTCCCAGTAATGGCTTTAAATACAATGTAGTCATTTTGAAATACCTTTAAGTTCTTACATAAAGGTTTCAAGCAGTGCAGTTGTTAACAAAAATGTGCTGCTGTGAGTTTCAATTGTAGCTTAATAAGGAATACGGTTTTGGATTAGTCTTGAGATCCAAATTTTACTGACTATTTTTATTCCTATTAAAGTGATCT